ACATTCTACTGCAGAAAGCCAGATCAATTACTTGCTTTATATGTTAGCAGGCTGCTTTTACCCAAACCAATGCTGTTATGCTTGAAGAGGAGATTAAAAGAACATAAACGACATCCCAAACTCCACAGTGACAACATAGAAATACAGAGCTTGTGTAAGCTTTGCTATCTTGCGTGCCCAACGTCTCTACTTTGGAGAGCTTTTTCGACAAGTACACCATATATGGTAATTCCTCATGAAAATCTCAAACTCTCACAGTATTTTGGTCCTTTTGGATGTTTTTCTGACAGGACTCTTAGTTCCATGGTCTGCAAATGACAAAAACAGCATTTACTTTGACTGTCTGAAGATGACTGCAAGTTGCTTAATTTTTGTAAATGGATTACCATTTTAAACCACTAGTCTATGCTATAGAAATCTAACAGATATACTTGACTTTCTAGCAATGATGGCCTCGTTTACCAAAACTTCAGAACTCCAACAGCAGTATCTATTAAAATTAAAATGAGCAAAGATTACTTACACATTTCTTTATTTGGGGAAAACAAACAAATAACCCTCCCACATAACATCAACAGAATTACTGGACTAGAAATCCACAGAAAACCATTTGTCACTAAATGGGGTTGGGATCTGGACCTTTCAACTGAAACCTGCAACAGCAGTCTGCATCTTTTGCATACTTGTTCAAAACGGGGTAATTATAGCTCATCTTTACTATCATCCAAGATTAATCCCTGTCCCTGGGTAGTTTTCACACTTTTTTGACAACTGTGCCTAGTGATCAGGTGAGAGAATTCATGCAGACTGTTCAGATATTCGGTGATGAGAGCAATAAGAACAGAAGATAATTTCAAAGAGAGTAACAATAGTACGCTCTGCTAGTGAAAAGAGCTTTCCTGTATTTTCAGTGTCATTGGAATTACTTTTCCATTTGTACTACAGCAGAGATGATGATCATCAGCATTTATAAGAAATATCCCCTGCTGTGAATTGGATAGGTTTCAATTTGAAGAGCAGGAAAAAAAAAATAAAATCAAATTATAATGGCATTTCCTATCACAACCACCATTTGCCTGGATCTAAGAGGGAATATTTAGTGGAGCTTTTTCATCTTTGAAGATATGCTCACATATGAGACTAGAAAATTTTACACAGCAGACCAAGCTTTGCATATTGTTAATAATGAACTCAAGCAAGAAAAAGTTTTGCCAAAAATACAGAAGACACTTAAAAAAACATGAGATAAAAGCAACTGTATTTCATCTTAATCAAAATGAAAGTGACAGCAAAAATTTAAAAATCAATGAGGGCTTTTTTGTTTTGAAAATTTAAGATGGATGCTGAACTGCTAAATATTAAAATAAATAAATAAATGAATTGATAAACAACACATGCATAGAGTGGCGTCTTTTTACAGAGTTACAAAGCGGCAGGGGTTTTTTAGCTTGCAAAACTGTTGTATTTACTTTCATATGGTCAGCGCCTGCATTCTACTTGGTTAATAAAGTACAGCAACAAGACTTATGACTTCCATATGCAATCTTAAATAAAAAAAATTAGTGTAGTGCACAAATAATAAACAGATGTTTTAAGTGTTCAAAGCTATAAGGGATACACATTTCAGAATAAACTGAACAAGCCACCTAAGGAAAGTGATTATTTAGGGGGGCAAAACCAGTTATTTCTACTAAGAAATGTTAAAGCAATAACCACTTTGTAACTGTTTATTCAGAGGGAAAAAAAACAAAGAGCGTTTAATCACCCTCACAATTCAACCTTGGTAGCCATGTCAGTGGCTACCATACTTACCACTGAAAAATTAACTAATTTGCCAATGAAAATACAAAGTAATCACTAACTTGGTTATTATTTAACATATTACAAACCCAAGCCTTGGGAAAAATAATCTAGAGCTCAAATTTTAAATAAGATGGGAGAGTTAGAACACCATTATCGGGCATTACTGGCAGGATTTTGGTAGTGGGGTGCTGCAGGAGTGACTCACGTGGCAGGAGGTCGTGAGCTGCCTTGTGCTGCTCATAGCCAGTTCCAAAGCTAGTGGTAAGCAACTCACTGCCTACCAAAACATCACCTAGCCAGGGGAGCCATGGCACCTCTGCCCAAACGTACTGAAAAGCGAGCAGCAGTCACTAGAGGAGGGGCCGAAGCCCACGGAGGGGACCCATCCCTGAAGGGCTGCGGCCTGTGGAGAAGTCATGCTGCAGCAGAGGAAAACAAGAAAGAAGCGAGGAGTGGCAGAAGGAAAACATCACACACACAATCCCACCCTCTTGTGCCACCCCTTATCTCACCAAAGGAGTTGGGATGCACAGTGTCAATGTGCAGCAAAAACAAGGGTACCCGAGACTGGGAAATGGGAGAGGAGAGATGTTTGACTGAAGCTGAGCCTGGAGAAGGCAGGGAAAAAGGCATTTTCTTAATTGTTTGGGGTCTTGTTTTGTTTTGTTTTCATCTTCTCAGTACTTTAAACAGTGATCTGAAGTTTTATGTTAACTGGCAAAAAGTTAAATTCAGTAACAACTCCCTGAGCCAAGGCTGTTTGCCTGCAATGCATGTTGCAAACTGGTCACCAGGAAGACCACAGTATGTCATTTTGAAGCATGTATTTTAAAAGGAAAATACACTTAGTATTTGCTTCACAGAAGACTACTACAAAAAATGGTCTGCACCATAGAAAGCTATTAAAATATTAAAAAACCAAAACAAGAACAGGTTAATATCTATGCATATGCAGGTTAATGAGGATGAACAAAGTTATAACCAAACCAGCTACCAGGCATCATGCTCTACTGATCAGGTATTCCTCATTTGTGATGGCTCAAGAAGCTGCCTCATGGCTCAAGAACTTTTGTGCAAATATTTCAATTTTAGACTGACCACAGAAATATTCTTTACTGACTGTTTCCACAGTGCACAACAGGATTCCTAAAACTTACTTTTAACAACAAAAACAACAAAAAAAGCAAAGTTCTACTGTATTTTTCTTGAACTTTCTGTCCAACTTCAGATCCTATTGAACTTCAGTTGCTTCCAAATCAGGCTTTGGGTGTATACCGTAGCTATTCCATCCTCTGATGTGCAATGCGGAAGTAGTAAACCAGATAGTTTTTTGACTGGAACAAAACTTTTTTTTACTGTATATTCTTTATGCATACAGCACTGAAACCTGAGCATCTCATTTATGCAAAGCATCCCTATTTCTAGATACCACATAAAAATTCCAGAGTACTCAGCATTCACTATAGATATATAATTTGAAAGTATTTTTATATGAAAATTATACATTTTATACTGTTGGCACAGAATACAGCTCATTTTCCCAGTTAAGAGCTGAATGACTACAGCATGCTTAAAAGTATTTGTTTCCACTGTGCAAAAACAAGGCAATATAGGTTGATGATAGGCTAGGACATATTAAACTGCAAGACTCTTTAGATTAATTTACATGTTCTTCTATTTAAAACAAAACAAAAACAGTTTTTGTCCTCACTAGCTCCAGGAAGCATTAAGCGCTGCAGATGAAGTACTATCTCCATTTAGAAAGTTAGCTTTATCTCCTGGATCTGGTATTTGCCTACACTGTTCTGACTTCACACCTGCTCTTACAAACATGCCGTTATATACATATTTGTGTCTCAAAATTAACCTACAGGCTATAAATACCCACACTTACACTAATTAGATTAAACACCATTAAGCAGATCAAGCTGAAACTCACTCCCTCCTCCTCCTCAGTCTGCATCCCCCACTTCTTGACTAATCAGTTCTTTCTGGTAAAATCTGAAAGTTATCCAATTCTCCCTCTGGAGTATTCTTTAGCACCCCTACCAAAAATATGCGCTAGAAAAATCAGCTACTCAAAGCACGATTTGCCTTTTTACACACACAACATTGGAATTTCAAAAGCACTGGTGCTGACTGTGGGATTTGTGCTACTACAGTATTAAGATTTTCACAATCTTCTAATCAACATCACATCTTTGCACTCTCTCTACGAGGGACCAACTTCAAGGGTAATTAAACAACCTTCCACCCTTTGCAGGTGTAGGCTAGCTGTCTCCAATTTACTGTCTCTGAGGCTGGGGTCTTGTGAGTGCTGAGTCCTTTTAATGGCCTCTTGATGCTGGAAGCAGAAGTATTTCTGCTCCTTCACTACTGGCCACAGAAGTTCATTCGCCTCCACTATTCACGCTTGGGTGCCTGTCAGACTTCTGTAACCCAAATTTAACTTAACTATACCAGCAAAAACTAGACAAGCAGTTTTTCTTCTGGGTTAGTTTTCTGCCAGGTTATTTAGTTGCATCAGCTCATGGAAGTGTCTGACAAGAGCCAAACCAACACAAAGGAGAGCTGCTATACTGGCTCAATGCCTTCTAAAACTGCAGTCCCACTATGTATTTGGAGGCCTTCTGATCACAACTGCTGAAGCAGCAGCTGTATACTTGCTAAACAGAGGAATATCCAAACTAGGCTGTGCAGAAAGTTTAAAACATAAATCGTACTCAGTATTTTTTCTTCATATACAGTAAGGCTTTTTAACTAAGGGGAATAGTGTGGAAAACAATGAAAACAAAATACAGTATTTGGCAGACTATAGCTTTTCCCCAGTCCCACTTATCTACTGAACAAATTCTGCATTAAATTAAAGCAGGTGGTGGTGGGGTATTTGTTGCTCCAAGTTCAAGCTGCTCATTCCCGGTAAGCCTAAAGGATAGTCATCTCCTTACTGTATTAACACCTTCTAGTTTATGTCACATGTTCTTAAAACCACTAATACAGTAAAAGTGAACAGGTAAGAAAACATGAGATACAATGACATTTATTTAAAATAATCCCTCAAGAACTGACAAAATAGTTGTTTTAAGTAATTGCTTATGTCTCAGGAATATTAAAGTCAGCTGCCTCAAAAAAAATTTTTTTTACATCATCATTTTAAAGGAAGAGTGCAGAAGTTAACTATTCATCCGATTACTTACCAATCAAGATTTGACCTGTTTTCATTGCTGAACTACCTGGCACTAAGCCATGTACTACAAGCTTCTCTTCACTGATTCCTCTGATGACTTTATTCTTCCTGCCTTGTTTTTCCGCTCTTCTGCTCCATGAAGACTGATGGACAATCCCTACTAAGGCCTCCAGCAGCCTGTGCTGCTCATCTTCTTCAGTGCTGTACAGTTTTCTGGGATTTACATAAACATATACATCTTTGTATTTTTGCTGCACAGTGACACCCATTTTCTGAGCAGACTGGTGTTTCAATATGGAAGTAGGACCAGTGGAGTGCACATTACAGCTTCCACTGCCTTTCTTATCAGAATGCTTTGGTAAAAGATTCTTCTTTTTTAATATTTTGGTCAATTTCTTCAGTTCATACTTTCTTTCTTTTCGTGATCCCTCTTGAATAACTTCAGCTTCATTTTCACGAAACCTGACATGATTCACTGCTGGCATTTCTGGACAGCTGTTCTGAAGCAGAGTTTCTTCCTCACTTTCACTCAATTCTAAATAAAATAATTCCCCATTTTTCTGCACACCATCCAACCATTCAGGTTCAAGGTCACTGGGAAAGAAAGAAGAAAGATCAGTGACAGCTCTAATAAGGAAGACTGCTATGCAAGTGACATCTGATTACTTCAAGTAGGGAGAGGATAGGGAGAGTGCAACAGGGAGGCGGGGGGGGGGAGGGAAAAAAAAAAGTTGCCTCCTGAATTTCAACTGCTTTAAGTTTGCCACAAGGGTAAGAGCTCTTCTCAGACAAATGATGGATATGGCAAGTAAAGACATCCCTCACAAATGTTAAAAGAGTTTCTTCAAATGCCTTACAGGAAAACAGCCATTGCAAAAAGCAATATTCCCTTTTCTGAAAACAAACAAACAAAACCAACCCCAAACCATTTCTTACATATACAGGTTTTAATTAGTAATTACATTCATGGGTATAATGGGGCTTTCTCTTAGAGAAAAAATGCCATCCTATTTGTTCTCTCCCATTATTTCTTCCCTTACGCATTTATAAGAAGGCTTGTACTTTGGAAAGACAAGAATAACATTTTAAAATCGCCTCAACATCACCAAAAAACCCCAAGATGAAATCTAGGTAACACTTTTTAAGGCAAGTTCAAAATAGCATACTCAAGCTCACAGGCAAAAATACACAAGAAGTAAAGAGGCAGCACTACTATAGAAAAAGTTCTAGCAGCTGGAGTGGATCACTAAGTCACTAGCAAGAAGCCGCTGCAAAGAAAAGGCAAAGCAACTACAGGATGTATTAACAGGAGTACCATCTGCACAACACAAAAATTTTTTTCCCTAATTTGGCAATGGCGATGTGTCAACCATGTCCAGTTTTGGATAGTACATTTAAAGAAAGATCTAAGAACTGGAACAAGCCCAGAGCACAGAGAGAAATAGTAAGTAGTTTATAAACATGTTTTAAAGGGAAAGAGACTGAAGGAAATCATACTCTTTTGGCTGAGAAAAAAACCAAACAAAAAATTATAGCTGAGAGGCAACAGACCAAATGGTCTACCACTCCCCTCCCCAAGATGAACCACAGAGTATTACTACAGAAGGATGAGGATCAATAATGGTCAAAGCAGGAGTACTTAGTGGTTTAATGTACCAAACTATTTAAGCTAAATATTAAGATAGCTTTTTGATCACCAGCCCCTCTCCAAAAACAAACAAAAAAAACCCCCAAAACAAAACAAAAAAAAACCAAACAAAAAACCCCCTCAGCATTAGCAGGCAATGTAAGGAACATCTGGGATGTTCTGTATGGAACATTTTCAGGAACAGACAAGAACAGTTCATTCTTCCTGAGTAGATGACAAACAGGTCTCCCGTTCTATGAATCTGAGTCCACACTGATAAAAATCAAATAAGGAAAAACTAGAATGGAGACTTACATCATAATTAATATCATTAGTTGTTTAAAGTTAACATACATTCATACATTTTATACTAGAACTAGCTAATTTTACTGACTCAAGGATGCAAATTCTGTTTAAAACTAGTATTATATAATTCAAATAGAGCATTTATTTGAATACACAGACATGATACAGCTTCAAAGTTTAGCTGAACAGAGAACATTGTACAAAGACACTGCAGCACAGCACCTTTAAGGGCTCAAAGAGAGGATCTGGCTGGACTAAGAATACAGAAAACGTCAGCATTACTCTCTTCCTGGAACCCCAGTGAGTTAGGGAGGTCTATGGATGTTGCAGACAGGAAGAAACATCATGCATTTCCTCTGTAGTTATTAATTGTTTTGCCCAAATTGATAGTTTTAAAAGAAGAGCCACCACCTGTGATAATTTGGCTATTCCTGATGGTCATGGGTAAGTCAGAGTTTGCATCTTCCACCACATCTTACTCAAGATCTTGAGTATCTTACTCAAGCAAAGTATCAGAAAGATAAAAACACCTAAAGGCTGCTGTTAGAGCCAGACAATTATCTAACCTAACATCTCTCAAAAGGTGGTAGGTAAGAAATAACAAGACAGAGTTTTTCCTTGGTTTGTTTTTTTTAAGAAGTACTCCTGCAGTCTGGTGCATGTAAGCAAAATGGGGAAAAACCCAAAATTGATAAAGGAGACATTAGAAATTTACAAAGAAATAACATTTGGGTTAGCAGAAACTCCTGTGATGTGCGACAGCCTTTTTATTTCCTCTTTAAAAGGGACTGTGCTCTTTGGAAAAGCTTTCTTCTTTGGGGTAGATGTCAAAACTTCAGCTTGAATGCCAGTTCACACACTTATGTTCTCCAGCTTCCTTGCCTGTTTTCATTATAAGCTACTACATGGACCAAGGGGGAAAAAAAAGGGGGGGGTGGTGGTGGTGTGGTGTTTACACTGGGTCCACTCAAACAGAAGCGCTCCAGAGAGAAGGCTCTTCAAGGAGGGGCACACATGACAAAGTTCCTCTATGCAAATAAGCTGATAAAGACAGAAGACTGAAAAAGTGTCACAAGGGCATGAATTGCTCTCCTTGAAGGCATTTTCATGAAAGTAGTGTAAAGGTACTATTACTTTCTGAATACAGATCCATACAGACATCTAAAAAAGCAAAGTCTGAAATAAGAAATCTGCACCTAGTATGACAGGTTTTTTTCCTAATTTCACAATTGATTTAAACCAAGATAAAAGAAAAAAAAAATTATAATCTCATTTCCGTCTCTTCCCTTGTGCCAAAACAGGCAGTTACACAATAACCTGAGCTTCTGTGTAGGCCTGGAAGCTTCAATCAAGGGATCTAAAAATCTGGAAGACCCGGATTCCTCTAAGAACAGTTTCACGGATCCCACACAGATATTTCTTCTTTGGGATAAATGTCCGAAAAACTGTGCCAGTTGAAATTGTCCATGTATGGAAGAAACATATACTAGAAATGAAGGATCCAAGTTCTGATTCCGAAGCAAGTGACTGTTCTCACCCAAGGAAACTCAGAAACAATAAACAGTTAACATCTATGAGCCTTGTTTTAAAGCAATTAAAGAACAAACGAAGGATTAACTATTTTACTGCACCGTATGATTAAATTCCACCCATATGATACTTTGCAGAAGTAAAGATCATCTTTAGTTTTCCCAACCTTTGCCTACACAACAACAAAGTACAGCTTCAGACTGAGGCATCAACTTGGTATACGCAAAGCTGCCATCTTCTTTATAGCTATGGCTGCCTTGAGGGGTTCTGATCCATCACAACTAGTGAAAGTGACAGAAAACGTTAAACTCTGTTAAAATAGACAACACTATTAAAAAAACCAAACCAAAACCACACTATTTCCACAATGGCATATGGAAGCATTCGCTTCACACGTCTGCCTGAAAACAGGCCTTGGACAAAATCACAGGGCTCTGAGAAAGAAGCACTCTATCACCCTTACTTCTGCCCTCACATGAACGTTCCTTGGTGTGTCTTGGTTTTGTCACATCAGCTGTATTATCAAGCAGCACGGTTTCAACTGTCAGAAGCTTATTCTGGAAGTCAGTAACTGTTAATTCAGAACACCATTCCCAAGGTTTTTCTTTCTTTAATTTATCAAATATGGCAGATTATAAAACCAGATGCAGATAATCTGCCATTATCTTCAAATGCCATTATCTTCAAATAGCTAACAGGCCTATCTTTGTACCTATTACTTTGGCAAACTGCACTCTGTTTCTCCCTCCCTTTTCACTACGAGTCACATCTTCACCTCTTGTTTCTGTACTCAGAAAGCTGGAGTGTTACAGGCCCAACAGGAGAAACTATTTGGACGCAAAATTAAAGCTTCACAGTACTGTTGATGCAGTGATACAAAAGACGCACCTCAATTTATCCAACAGTATTACACATTGTGTTCTGTGTTGAAAACTGTGGAACACAGCTTTAACCTCTGAACACATGTAAAGAACGCCAGTAAGTAGGCATTTTAGATGAAAGATTTAGGAAAAAAAACCCAAATACACACAAAAGAAAAAAAAGCATGGCTTCAGGCAGAAAAGTGTTACAGTTGAGTTCTGACGTATAAACACATAAACAAAGTAAGGTAGGTGTGCACCCAACAGCTTTGTTGCTCACCCAGCCAGAAGTATGGGACAACTACAAAACCAAGTATACTTAAACACACATCAAACCTCTCCCACGTAAAATCTTCTTTTTCTTCCTCACCGCACTGCATAATGAAAATAACAGGCCGAACAAAATGCCATTGATTAGACCTCGAAATACACATTTGAACTGTCAAGCAGAGTTGCTTTAATGCAGGGATCTGACAGAGAGTAAGTTTTTATATGAATTAAAACCCAAAACCCTAATAAAAGAAAACGCCAGCGGTTGCGCACGCGACTTTAAAACATGTATTGGTATTACAGAGTGGTCTTCTCACCCACCGCTTCCCCAAAGCCAAGCCACTAAACCAGGAGGGCTGCACCTCCAGCGCCCAAGCATTTAGTACAGGCACCAGCCCGAGGGGCTGCCCGCTAGCTGAACTAACGCTGTCGCCCCCCACGTTACTTTTAGGGTTTCGTCAGAGAAACGCACTCTTAAAAAACGACCCGCCCGGGGAAAACCCCCGGCCCGGCCCACGTCCCCCCGCCCGGCCCCGCGGCAGCGGAGGGCACCGAACGCCGCCGTCCCCGCCCTTACTCGGAGCTCGCGGACGGCGAAGTGGCGGACGAGCCGCTCTCGCTGCCCCCGGTACCCGCACGCTCAACGCCTTCTCCCCTCGACGGCTCCATCCCCTCAGCGGCTCCGCGCCCACTCCCGCCATCCCCCCCGGACGCCATGACACCCGCACCCCAGCGCGCCGGGGGGGGGGAGGGGCACGTGACCCGCGCCCTGCCCTTCCCATTGGCGGGCCCGGCCCGGCGCCATGGAGACGAGGGGGGAAGCCTGAAGGCGCGTCCTGCCCAGGGCTGCAGCGCGCGGAGCGTTAACGGTCGCGGCGGCGGCACCGCCGCCTGTGAGGCCCGCGCCCACGGAGAGCCCCGGCACCGCCAGCCGGCCCCGGGAGGATCCGGCAACGGGCCTCAGAGCACCAGGCTTTCATAAGCAGTAATTACGGCGCGCACCGCTGCCCGCCTCGGGAGGAGGTAAAGCGTAGTTTTAGCGCGGCTTCTGACAGAAAGGCCAGCTCGCCTGCCCCCTTTGGCTGGCAAGAGGCGTAGTAAACGCTTCGAAGTGCCCAACCTCCCCGTTTAGTTCCTCAAAACAAACAGCTGAGTCTCGCTAGTCCCTTGAAAGTCTTTCAGTGTGTCAATAGGGAATGCATAATGGAGAACAGGCTATTTATGTAGTTGTCCGATACCAAGGTCTCAGCAACAGTTCCATAAAAGAGACTGTTAATGAAACTCAGAGTCCTGGAGTGAGCCTCAAAGCATTGCTTATAATCAAAAACTGATCCAGAGAAAGAAACGTGAGGTAAATAGTAATTTTCATCAAGTCAAATGGTTAGCAGTGGAATACTTCTATGCTTTATGTTATACCCCGTTATGATCATTTAAAGAGTTGAGAGAAACTACGATAACTTCTCTTTAGGTTAGTCAGGAGAACAGTTAGGTTAGGGAGGAGAGGCAAGGATGTGAGACAGACCCAAACAAGCTCGGTGATTTGGCACCTTAAAGCAGTCAAGGCAGTCTACAAATGCAAAATCATGCACAGTCAAGAGAGAGAGAAAAAAAACCTACTCAGTTTTCAGGACTTAAATTATTCACATCCATGAAAAACAAGACCCATGGCAACCCTGCAGACAACTTGCTGTGTAGCTATGTCAGTAAACACATCAGGACACGCATGGTGAATAAGGAAAGGGATGGAGAATAATTGTTGGAACATTTTTAATGCGTTGGATTTAATCTCTGCTCAGTGGGATATTTGCACAGCTTCAGCAGTGAGGTTTTATAGTCACAGAATTCTGGTATGAAATTCCTGTACTTGAAACTGTTTTAGGGAAGTGTTTGCTAGTAAGTGTGACTTCAAGTGAATTAACAGGAATGTTTTGGACTTGTATGCATGTGATTAAGGCTTCAACTGGAGTAGTTAGAGATACCTGTACTAAATTTTGTGGCCATTCTGAAGTGCCTATACAAGACCTGATTTTACAGATAAATCACTGTTGTGTGGATTTTAAAGACAACAAACCTACCCAAAGGAGGAGACAAAAAAGTTTGTTCTAATATGGTTTCATTCAGTTCAGGACAGGATATGGTAGATAATTTAAGGTTTTTTTTTTTCCTATCTGAGCTGGCAACAACCACTTCACGCAAAGTATATAATCCCTGCATGTTAGGCAATTCTTTTAAAAAAACCAAAACAAACCAAAAATTCAGATCTTTAGTTGTTTCCAATTGTCAGAATGCAAGATATGCACCAACTTTCATTCTTTCTTTCACTTCCAGAAGAACAGGTGGAAAAAATATTTTAAAAGTACTCCACTTCCCAAACAATTTACTTTGTGAAAACAAAATAGTCTGCATAAACAGCATTTCCCAAAGTGTGTAACAAGTTACAATTTTCTAAGAGGAATACAGCAGGAGTTAGAATTTTAACAAAGGTAGGTGAGATACACTGTCCTGCCCTCCCTAATTCTGCTTGTATTTGCAAGCATTTTTAATACACTGAACAGCATACTGCAGTGTTTCTGTAGAGAAGTGATAGTCTATGCCAGATGGTCCTGTGTTAGTTATGTCAAATTTCACTGAGTTCAAGAGTTGGTTAATTGTTTCCAGTTGTTTGCTCAATAAGTGAGAAATACAGGCTCTCTAAAAAGGAGGCAGCAGTCTTACACTACTTGCTATTTTATAGGGATAACCATATCATGAAGGAAAGGATGATGGAAGATTTTGGTCCACCGAGAGAGGTAGTTGGGAGTCACCTAAGTATTTTTCTGAAATGAATGTGGAAATTTTGCTGCTGTGGGAACAATTAAAGATCGCAAGACATATCTCACACAGCAGGATTTTATTTTAGTGAAGACACAGATTTTCCCACACAATCCCTCTCGAGAGGAAAGCCTCTTATTTCTTGTGCGTAAATATTAGGAAAAGACTTGAAATAATTTGTCTTCTGGCAGATCCTTTACACTGAGTCCAAGTAGTTGGGCTGATGCTTCTCACTAAGGAACCCATAAGCCTTCTATGCTAGGTTGCTGTTATTAACAAGCAGATGGCAAAAATTTGCCACAGGGCATTATTGGCATCAATACTACTGTTCACCCTTACTGGACAACTGGTTAATGAGCATTTAAAAGTGGATAATTAAAAAGCACTCTCTTTTGCCTTAAGGTTGTTCTGATTAGCTGTTCCTGCAAGGAACTAAATCCATGTGTGGAAATTCATTTCAGAACAAGAGTTCCTTGTTACTTTTTTGGCTTAACCTGCTTCAAAAGCTATTGTACTTTAAAAATAACAGTCTACCTTGATCCACAGTTATATTCAGGAGTAGATCATAGGTAAAAGACGCCAGTGTATAGGACACACCAAAGATATATACCAGTCCTTTCGAATAAAGGAGGAACATAACTAGGGCGTAACTCTATTTTTTGGTACTGTTGCATGGATACTTACGAACCCCTACTCCAACCACTGTCCAATTTAAACTACTAACATTTTTTCCACTGTTACATACTGACCGATGATTTTTTTCAACCTGATGATGAAGAAACAAGGCTGGAGTTACAGTCTTTCCTAGCAGCTAGACGGAAAAGCACAGGGAAATTTAGGACTAGCATTTATGACTACTCTAACTTGTCGCGTTTGGGTTTGTATAGTCAGGCCTGATCTTAGCAATTTTACCAGGACCCGTGATTCACTGATGATATACCGGATAGATTTCACTGGTTCACATTCAGCAGGCTTGTTGGGCCTGAATTGCGGATATAGTTGAGCTCTTCTCAACACAGGGCTGAAAACTGGGACAATGTTAAACCCCTGGTATACTGGGGTGAACTAACGCTCTCTCTGCTATGAGGGAATGCTACCTGATACTTAGGACTACCCAGTTTATGCCCATGAGGTGCCAGGGCACTATCCAGTGATTGTATCAGATCCCTGATATTTCAGCACTCTCCCTTTCTTCTTCAGGGTCATTCCCCCTGCTAAATGCCAGCGTGGGCAAAGAAGAGCACAGCCTGCAGCACTGTCTCTCTGCTATCTGAACAGTGCTCCAAACTGGGAGAATTCTCTAATGACTGGATCTGCCAGCTTTCTGGCTCTTTTGTTGGGCGTACACAGTATGAACAGCCCATAGAAATACTGCAAGATAAATCTTACTGGATGTACCTGTGCTATAGATGAATCTGTCTTTCTTACACAGACTATGTGTATCAACAGCATTTTAAGTGTCCCTTTGCTTTGCCCCTCCCCTTCCATACTTCAAATTACAGCTCTTAATTATTGTTAAAGAAATAAGAAGGCCTAAGTGACTTCTTATTGTTTCATTTTTTCCTTTCTCCTGGTTTTCAAATCAGATAATATTTCCAGGAAGGCTCTATCAACAACTGGACAGACATAACATGATATATTACAGGTATAACATGACACATTACAAGCAGATAAAACTAAGAGGAAAATATTTTCATCGTTGTTTAACAGTTCTGCTTCTTACTGCTAACCCCTGCTTTACTCAAACATCTGAAAAAAAACCTAATAGAAAATCTGGATTGCTGAAGAGTGACATTACAGGCTTTTCAACTATTGATTCCTATTGATTTTTTAGTCCTCCAGTGCACAGCATCAGCAAAAATGGGACAGAAGTTAAGTTCCTCTGTTTTAAAGATTAATGACAATACAGCTTTCCCCTACCCCACCAAAGTCTTTCTTAAGAGAGAAAAGACACATTTCACCGGCATTCCTTAATAAATAAGATTTTGTTATTACAAGGTTTACATAAAACTACACGAGTAAGACTGCAATTACAAAATCTGTTCACAGCTTTTCTGACATTATTGCATAGAGACCATCCATAGCAAAGTGGCATGAATTGAATGGTGACACTGGACTGTATACATATAAAGATACTAAATGGAGAATGAAGGCTACCTTTATGACCAAAGGAACAGAAATTTTGTGAGAAAACACTCCAGTGCTCAAGAAATAAAATAGACTGTTCTGACTTTTTAAGCTTTCTATATCAACTTCCCCTCTATGCAACCGGATGACAGAAAGTATTTCAGAAGAAGAACATAAAAACAACAGAAGACAGCCATGAAGAATTCAGGAAGACTAGTTCAACCCATCTCATTCTTTTGGAAAACAGTCTTACAGAGTTCCCTCTAGCATGAAAAGCAGCTGTAATTTCAAATAAGATTTTTCCTACTGTTTTTACTTCACTTTAAATCTACAGGCTTTTTTAGGATCACCTGCTATGCATAGCAGGCATGTCGAGCATGAAAGAAAACCATTATTTGCAGTCAGTCAACATGCAAATGTTTCAAGTATGAATAGCACCTTCTTACACCGAAAGTATACTAATATAAGCAATACCATGGGGCAGCATGCTTTTAATCCAACTTTGAAATGGAACATTTTCTGTTAAGTCACTGACAAATGCATGCGCAGGGTTTCAGATACCAGAGGGTCCCCTGGTAGCATATGGGCACGCTTATTTCTTATAAAGCAGCTTCAGAGTGCAATGCAGGAACAGGCTGATTCTGGCGTGCCCTCCTTGCTGCATTCAATGTTTTCGTCCTCAGTGTTCACAGGAAGGGATTTTAATCAACTATTCAGTTTGATGCTTTGAGCTGGAGAGAAGCTGAGTTAATAATTAGTTGTTAGTTTCCATAGCAAGAGCTGCTTGG